AAATTATAGTAGGCAGGAAATAAAAACTAAGTGGATGACCCGAGTCGATGTTCCTCGCTTGTTATTCGTCTCGACGTGGCAGCTTCGCCTTCGTGTCGAGTCAGGTCTTCTTCAGTGAGCCATCTCCTCGAATGAGGCATCCTTACTCAGTGATGCCCTTTTATACACGATGCTGATGGTGGATATAATGATGTCCGGTGATAACAACTTGTTTTGCTCCCGGACATAATCATCGCGCACATCGTGCAGAAGTCGGTGTTATTATCAGCTAGCACAAAGCGTAGTAATATTTCGAAACCGACTTTCCTTGAACCTCGGTATCACTAATCAATATGTATTCTTTCTTTGATGAGCCTACACGAGGTTGATAATGATGTTTGTTTTCGGCTGACGTTTCGACGTCTTCGTCTTCCTCAGAGCCATCGGATCATCGGCTAGCTGATAATAACACCGAAGACGTTGGCCGACGTTGGCAGGAAGACAAAGACGTCGAAACGTTGGCCGAAAATAAACATCATTATCAACCTCGTGTAAGCTCATCAAAGAAAGAATACAAATAAATTACTGATATCGAGGTTCAACGAAAGTCGGTTTCGAAATAAAAACTAAATAGCACCTCGTGTTTGCTGAACAGAAGTAGAAAGATAAAAACTAAGTATTGCGATTTCAACTACAACCTCGGCTTAGCTGAGTTCAATGCCGATTTTTTCTCCCTAGATCAATCCCGTTGACAGGTGATTGCTGATAGCACCTGTAATTCAATAACACGGATAAGAGAAAGTCGAAACGAAAGACCCACATGTTGTGTTGGCGAACGCGCTAGCCCTCGGAAACGGTAACAGCGCGTTCGTTTCCCGCCGCATACATCTGCGGTCCAGAGTTTTGCAAATATCTCAGCATCATTGTGGTTGTATTTTTCATTATACCTTGCCGTGAAAAATTATAATAGGCAGCAAATAAAAAGTAAGCAAAACCTCTTTGTTTAGAACTTTCCAAGAAAAAAACTAGAACACACTAGTAATTAAAGGTTGTGAGGCAGTCAGAACAGCGTCTTTTGGAACCGACACAATGATTACGTCGGTTTCGCAATCGTGTGCTGTGTTAAAAACACAAAGAATTGGAAAGTACATTCAAATGTTGGAAAACATACAATTACTCGAATGGAGAGTTCGGCCGGATGTGCGCATACGTTGAAGTTCGTGGAGACACGTGCGGCACCGATCTCAGGAAGTGGAATATCACATCGTGGTAAGCAATCCATCTGAAAACCGCTAATTAGGCTGTAGAATAAGGTTTTCACATAAATATGAAAAGAATCATTCATATACCGTCTAAATAGAGACAATTCTATGAAGGAAAAGACCGATTACTAGCAGATTGCTTGGATTTGAAACCAATAAGAGCAATACACTCTGGTCTCGAAATAGAACAACTGACAATCTTGAAAATACTGCATGCATCCAAGAAATCCCAGAACACTCTCCAGCTGAAAATGAGACCTACAAGTGTTCAATTCAACTTCTGATACCTAGTTAAAGACCATCTCAAAAAGTTCGGCCATTACGGAATACTCAGGAATGAAAAGTATGGCTTCCAACTGGTTTCTATTGGCACTTGTTTACTAATGAGAATTGAGTCTATTTTCTACGAACTACCACCAACACATTTTCTATCTTGTGATTCCTAAGCGCTTTTTTTCGCGAACAATAGGAATATCCTTCCAAAAGTTTCAGTTCCTTGTAATAATTAAAACGAGAAGATGAATGTTTACAAAGCACAGTACAAAAAAATGGCAAGAGATCTCGAGGATTAACTTTAATAAATGAGCGACTTCAGACCGCATAGGTGACATGGCGTGACGGAAACAGCACACATGCTGAAATATGCAATTAAGGGCCACCGGCTGAGAAAGTAAAAAGGCTATTTTATAGCCTAATCGACGCCAACAAGTCTTATTTTATTGCATAAAAAAGTAATGTTTGAGAAATGCAGGTCTATACGATAAGGACGCGTATGGCGCAGTGGTCGCAGGCGCCACTGCGACACACATGTGGAATCGATCCCTGCTCCCATGGCCCACCAATCCTTCTATCCCTCAGGGGTCGGTAAATTAGTACCAGACAAGCCTGGGAGGATGGCAGCACTGGCTCGATACATCAGTAGGCCACCGCGAATCATTGTAAAGGTCAGATATGCCTTCAATCACCTCTAATGTTGCTTACTGAAGTCGAATGCATGGCGCATCCCTCAAGGATTGATCAACGCCGAGAACTTATCCTTTACACCATAGTAGTACAAGGTAGGTATGTTGCAAATCTTTGTAACCTTGTAAAGCACCCTGAAGGCGGAACTTCACCCCTTTAAGTGCCGAACGACATCTCTATAGTTAGTAAATATCGCAGAATATGAATATCTTGATAGAGTAACAAGTAAAAGGACGCTAACACGTAAAGGATTAGACTTCGGCTGCAAACCACCAAAGGCTAACATACTCATATATTCTCCGAACACAACGAAAACATCCATGTTGATGCCGATAATGTACTGTTATTAAGGCGATTCCGTTCCAAATATGTGGAAAAATTCTCTAGCGATGTTCGTAGACCATATGGAAGAGGAAGTACGTTAAGTTCATTTGGGACAACAAACACTTAATGGAGAACGAGAACGTTTAAATGTCAACAAACAACTTACCAACATCAGTAAACCACCATCTGTTCACAGGTGGCTGTTCTATGTAATGTACAAAACACTCTTAATAGAGGATAATGGCACTAGTAGCTAAAAACCTCGGCATCTACGTTCGATGGCATGGTGAGTTAGAAATACCCCTATTAGTTAATAACAGATTTTTAAACAAAACTGGCATGATTGTTGTAGAATTACGTATGTAATACCGTAGCTATGGAGAAGCCATTTTGCTCTTCTGCAAAGGTCATTATCCACATGTATAGACGCTTAAGGCAAATCTCCAATAAAATGCATCGTTTATGATAAATGAGGTTGTCGAAGAAACAAAAACATGAGACTCCACTCGAAGAAGACAAGCAGGCTTTGTTATTGACGGAGATAAAACTACTTGCCTTCTTACGGAAAATGTTGATTCGAATGGAATTTGCAACTACTAGAATTTATCGGTAACATCTTAGCAAATGACTAGACAATAAAGTATTTGTCTGCTAACGGTGTTGACATAGTAAGCCGAAGGAGTTAAGCATAAAGTGAAAAAGACCTACGTAGGTGGAACATATTTCTAACAACCAGTTAAAATGTATTGCTTCATAACAAATTAAATTTTGAGATGTTAAAAACCGAGGTGCAAAGCAGCTGTTAGCGATGCAGTCTGTCAGGAATCAAGGCACTGGTTCAACCCTATCCCCAGAGCTCCTCTACAATTCATGTAGGGACGCCTTAGCTTGGCTATCTCCAACATTGCAATAAGAATCGACTCGATCAGCATTCTACGACATTCATAAGGAAGACGAAATCCTTAAAAGGCAGCCGAAACAAACATGAAATGTTCGAGAACGTTGTCGACGAGGAAAAAACGAGACGGTTACAAGAAGTGATGGAGTCCGCACAACAGATGTGATGATGGGTCATGCAAAACAATGATAAACAAATGTTAGAAATCAGAGTTGGCCAGAGAAATGAGAGAAACGTGCTCCATTGTTAGTTGGTGTCACGTTATGATGACCTACTGCTATTCCCGTTTATGGTAATTACTGTGTACAAGATGGCTGAGTGGATGAAGTGCTATGCTAGTGGTAAATGTGTGTTCCATAAGCCATTACTTTGTCAATTACCGTCATCTTCGTAGACAGCGTCATTGTGTTTAAAACCACAGACGATTACACTAACATCTTACTTGATAGTTGAATGGCCCGCCCTCATTGTGCATGCCATAGCACAATCTCTATTTTTTCGGTGATTTGCTGGCTAGGCATTGTGGTCCCTGGATTCCCGAGAACAGCCTAGCCAAAGTTTTCCTCAGACATTAGCATCATGATGACGAATTTCACAATTATAACAAATTTCCACATTTATAGGTCCTAAAACTACTAATTATGTCACACGCAGACAATGTAAGATGTGGATGTCTAATAAGATGTGTTGGCTAAAGCGTCGAGAATGAAAAGGTAGGGAAAAATCAATGGCAAGAAATTTTAGTTCGATAGAGAACAAACAAACAAACAAACAACAATAAGAACTTGTTCGATTTTTGTTTAAGGTTCGAATAGGACAGAAGAGAAGACCTCTGTATTGTAAGCATTTATCGATAATTATTAGCTCTGTGAACAACTACGACTGGCACCATCGATTAGGTCCTACGGCGGTTATACCTCGATACTGTCCACTAGTGTGTTTGTGTGGCTACCGATTGAGATTAGAAGGGCTTAGCACTATGAAAAGCTAATGAAAATGAGCGCTTAACTTAAAGGAGAGCTAGAATTTGCTTGATGAGTATGATTCTGCGGACAAAATACCATCTACATGTGAGCCATGACGTTAGCGTCATCTGAAAAGTTCATCACTAAAGTGCTCAAAACTTGGCGGGAAATTGGAAGTATTATTGCTTTCGCATTTTGCCGAATTTCTCCAAAAAACCTATCACTCTATTTATAGTTTGTAAACTCAAAGTGCAGACCTCTTCATGAGTGAAGTTCAGAAAAGAATAGTTTGAAAAACCAGCTTCATTTGTCCTATCGATGACTTTCGAGCGATTCGATAGTAATCTTTCTGCAGTGATTAAATTACGGATCGTCATAAGATTCTAGAAAATAGAAACATAAAGAGAAAAAGAAGATCCCTGCACACATTTTTCTTTTTTTCACTTCATTTTCCATACGTTCCTTCATACATCAACAACCATGAGCCGTTCAGAGTTCTCATTGTTATTACTGCTCAGAGGTTCTTCCACTCATAAAGCACAATAGAGACAATAGGAGGAATAATAAGAAATGCTGCGGTTCGAAAAACAAAACAATGAAGTTTACAGCTCAGCCGTCATCGGTGCCAACGGAAATAGCCAAAATATCGGCTACGGTGAATGCCAGCGATTGAGGAGTAAAAAGCTGACATCGTCTAGCTTGACTGAATTCTGCCGTTAATAGAATCCATTCGTCCACTCGTCGAACACCGTAAAACTCACATAGAGCATAAGGAATTTTCTTCAACCAAATATAAAGTGAAAAAGAAAATTATGAATTATTGAGAACTGAAGCTAGAACACAAATTTAGGTAGATTTCATTAATAATCACAGCAAAAGATACACTTCCAGAGGAATTGGGAACGTTCTGCATATCTGCCAACAAATACGGTAGCTTCCAGTTTTTCGACGCCGAGCGGTGGCATGAATAATTCCATTCCCGCGCTCCAAAAACACTTGCACGCTCTAATTCAAATTATGATCTACGATGTTTTTTCTTTCTTTTCTAAATGACGACTTCTTGCAAAGGGCCATTGACGTCGTACCAGTGTCCCTTGTTAATTGAAGGGTCAAGAAACCTAGAAAATTGTTTATTACAGAGGACGCTGCCGTTAAATTATATTGCTTATAATGTTTTACAAGATCTTTTACATTTATGACTAGTATGCACAAATGTAATAGAAATAAATCATGTACTGTGCTTGCAAAAAAGCCGCAGGAAAAAAGCTACCTCGTTGCTTTGTGTGAGAGCAACTCTGCAAAATTCTATCATTTGGTCGTCCGACGAGGGAAACTTTAGCGTCAAGGAATCATATTGTGAGAAAACTTCCTTCATGATAAGAAAAAAGAAAATACAGTACGAATGGAAACCAAACCAACCATTGATGAGCAATGAACGATCGAACTGATGTGCCCAATTTTTTAAGAAAGACAAACGTTGAGACAGTTTGTGTATAGTGGAAACCCAAAGAGAAGAGATGTCCGACCGGCGGTTTGGCTAGTCATTTGACACACATCTGGCGTTGTGGTGGCGTTCATCACCGTCACTGAACAAAGAAAGACGTCGTTGTAGTCATCGTCGTCATTTGGATGTCTGACCGGCGACCTGGAGATCCAACCGACACACATCTGGCGTGGTGATGGCGTTCATCACCATCACCGAACAAACAAAGACATCATCAGCGTCGTCGTCGTCGTCGTCGTCTGAAGCAGCTGCGCTCTCGGGCACTTTAGACATCGGACAATCCTATGGATGGTCTTTATGTGCGACGATGATGACCGAGACTGGAATTCATCGAATACTCCTATAGCATGGCTGTTTTTCACATTCACAGAAAAAGTAGAGGATGATACGCTATGGCGTTTGTTCGTGCTTCCTAGATTAAGTAGTGCATGTAACACAATGATCGTATGTGCCGCGCAGTAAACACATGATCGCTGGTACGAATCCGTTTGCCTTAACTTTGGTACCAATTCTCCTAACACTCCAGGATAAAAAAAATGGTGTCATATTTATCTGGGAGTATAGGAAAAACTGGTCTGGCATATCGGTAGCCCTGTTGAAGCAATTGTACAGGCCAAAAGGCTCATCAATCACCTCCGCGATTCTTAATTTAGTCAAATAGATAGCGCATTCCGAACCGACTGTTCAGTGCTGAACGCTTCATGTTCCTCGTCCTTTTTCTCTCGTTCCCAGTTGGAGAAGACATGATCTATTGACATTTCCCAAGAGCCTACTAATACCCTCACGCTTTTTATGGGCATTTTAAGCTTCTTCGATGGTTCGCATATGCTGCGATGGTTATTTAGTACTGAATGTGGACGGATAGACAGAAAGACCTTTTTGTTTGTTATTTCTATAATTAGACATGAGTTCAAATAGATAATGTGGTTTGTGCAGACTAACGAAAAGGGCGAAGGGTTTAGGAATAGATGAGACCGCAGAACCAGTTTTTACTGCGTTTTCCTGCTGACAACGAATCATTCTGATCTCTAGCAGGCAGGCAGCTTTAGCTTGATGCTTCCCAATAACACAGATAAGCAGCCGTATATCTGACGATTCATCCTCTTTTACTGAGGTAGGAGAAAAGAAAACCACTTCCAAGAAAAAGCCGATCAGTTATCAGGTAGTGTATGAAGTGTGAGTCGATCCATCTTCCCATTGACTGTTAATCAAAATGTTAACTATAAGTAGGATTAAGTATTAAATTGCTACGAGTTAGTAATAACGCCACATGATTGGTGCTTTTTGGAAAATATTCCAAGAAAAATGAGGAAAGAGGTAATGCTTGTGAGAATTGATGTCTCCATTAAAAAATTCTGAGAAGAGGAACCATTTAGAAAAAGCAGAATATTGAGAATGATAGCCACTTGTAGTCAAGGATTTCTTTCTATCTTCATGTGATGATAGAAAAAAAACGAACGAAGGAAATCCTGAGAAGAGGATGAACTTGAAAATAGTGCGAGAAAAGAACATTTCGTGGATGAGATAGAACGTGAATCTATGCGAAAACACTGGACGACAGTTGAGTCGATCATATTTCCTTCCTTTGAATTTTTTCCTCCTAAACATTTAAATCGTTGATTTTTTCATTTCAAAACAATTACAAATGTAACTGATTTTAATATTACAATTAAAAATCGTCCAGCATTTCCGAAACCATCCATATCAATCTTATAAACATCACATTATGTAAATAATATTTCTAGAAGTTTCCTTTTATCCCCACTTTCGTATCCATCTGTTGCACGAATAAAAATATTTCAAACGAAAAAAAAATCTTGCGACTCAACTAGAGAATTAACGAAACAGTAAGTACTAAAGCCAATCCAAATGAAAATGTTGTCAAGTTGACATTAAAACGAAGTCCCTCACTAAACAAATGCATTTACCATCGACCATCGACTCGAATCAACGACTCTGAAGAAGACGAAGATGTCGAAACGTCAGCCGAATGAAGATCTCTATCAACCTCGTGATAGCTTATCAATGGAAGAACCCATCTACATTTACATGAGGGCGTTTTTTGCACTTAGAAAAGGCAGAAAATGAGCAACAGTAAGGATATAATGACATTAAACAGTTGGAATAAAGAACTAGAAAATTCAAGTCGACCACCATTATCAAAGCGATTCTGATGATGACCACGCCCCGTCATCTGAAGACATATCAGGCACCGCCCATATTAGCGCGATGGCGGCGGCGGCCCCATCGGCCTCGTCGGCCTCCACGAAGACGACATGATAAGCGGCCGACGGTCGACAGGCCACGATGTTTTGACATCAACACTCATACCGTAATTTAAGTATGACCCTAGCACATAATTCTTGGCACTTACCAACATCGAGGCAATGATAACGTCGTACCCGTAGGTATCGTCCCGTCCCCAGCCTATCGGTCCTCAAATAGAAAACTCCTTTGACTTTCTAACACTTTTCAAGATCGACTTCTTATTAATGTCAGCACTTAATGATATGTTTACGCCGTCTTGATAAGCAGACCCAAGGTTCTTAATTCAATATTTATTTCAGCATTAACATTTTAGCTGCTTTCACCTTCAGAATCTGGAATAGACCACATTGACACGCAATCCACTTATCCAACTGCACTCATGATCCTAATGGAGAAAAACTCAAAACATAGATTGAGGTTTATTTTCTTTGTCCTAAGACGGGGCATTCCCCTTTGTTTATACAAACCCTGTGATGCTGATCTCCTTCACTAAAGGTGCAAATCTCCACAAATAACGGATATTTTAAATACTTGTTCAACATGTGGTCGAAACTAGGATTTCGAGTTCTATTCACCGTTAGGGTTATAAAGATATTTGGCTGAGCAGAATTCGTGGCAATGGGATCCCTTAAAGGCTCTGAAGAAACAATATCCGCCGAAAAGTAAGCTATTCTGTAAAACAAAAAACTGCGTTAACAACCTTAAGTACACGAACTATGAAGAAAACATAAACCTCTGACTTTATTGACTGATTTAAGCTTAGATTTTTTTTATACAAGACACATATGAAACCTTTCGTAATCCTAGTTTCATTTGAAAATGCAAGAAATCTTGAAATTGTGGTCAAGAAATGGAGAAAATGCGGTCAGTTGTGGGCTTAATCTAGGTATTATCGATTTTTCCATGATCTCCTTATCAAATAGTTCTAGAGGGGTGCAGATGAAAGTGTGATAACCCAATGATAAGAGGTTTTTTCTAGAGCAAAAAAAATGTAAAGTGCGTCAATTCGAATTGCTCTACCTGTCAGAAATAGCTCACTGCTTGTGTCCATAATGTTTGACAAAATACTTTAATGGAATTCTTCACGTCTTGAACCATCCGAATTCGATAATCCAGGAGAAAGAAATCCCGCGTTGCTAGGAATATACAATATTTCTAAGAATGAAAAACGAAATACTATGAATAAATGGGGAAACTTTCTGACGACACCAAGGAAAGAAGTGCAGTAGGGACGAAAGAAGAACAGCTAGACTAATTGGTTGTCGTTTGTTTGCGTTGCCCAGCAATGGTTTCGACTGGGAAATGTTTTTGAGAGGTGGACATAAGAGGGATACCCATCGAGCAGCGAGATATCTCACCTTCAGAAGGAGTTTGAAATTTCCATTCGGGAAGCCTAGTCAAGAATAAAACAGTGCTATGCTGGAAAAACTGTAGTCCTTAGCTAGAAAATGGTGACCACCTGGGAACGCTCTGTTAAGACCACCTTCGAGACTCCAAGGAGAGAGAAAAAGCCTTTCCTGATTAACAAATTAAAACCAGTCAATTGGAAAGTGTACCGGGGTCCAGCACAATTTTCTCTGAGTGTGGGCTGTTTAGCTATTCAAGCAAGTACTGAATATAGTACTTCTTAAAGATTTTCAAAATGGTTTAATATCGAAAGAAGCATGCAGCTAACGTTACGGTTTGGTTTCCTACGGAACTCGATGACCAATTACCAAAACTGAATATCGGCTCAGAAATTTAAGCGAAAGCTTTTATAATTAGTTATGCAGTCTTATTTACTGTACAGTCCAAAGTACTTTCAGTAATATTTCATGGATTAGAAAACATCGAGTGTTGAAAGCAACTATTTATTTCACAGTACATGAAGAACTCCAAGACACTACGAAATATTTTTGAGGAATTTCTGATAAATTATTAGTTAATACCGAAAATGTTACTTTCCGATTTAACAGTGATTCATCGTTTGTGTCTAAGGACGAATGAAATGCTGATTATTGTTCGCAAGCAAGATCTCGGGCTTCATTTAGCCAAGGGTTAAGTGGTATGTTCCCAAACGATAGAGATGGGATTATTATAGTTGAACACGAAAACAGACCATTATGAACTTTCAGTTAGGATCACTAAGAAGATGTACTGTATATCTCCGTTGTGAGAGATCCACCTACACATTCCATGTATGGTAACAATGTTGACTGTACTGACTATACCGTTACTTTACTGGAAACAAACCTACATGTGGAGGAAATTTTTTACTTATGCTTTAAGCGCATCCTGTCGAGGCATGGGAAATCGGCAATCAGCTTAAACGTCACCGAACGGATGAAAATTTCCATTTGGAAGGTAACTACAACCGCTTTCGTCATTTTTCTTCCAAAAAAGAACAAAGTCACAGTTAAAAAGAAATCGTGTTTAGGATCGTAAAATGTTACAACTTTGTAGACATAATTTCATAATGCAAAACCAACGACTACAAATGTTGTTGTGGAAAAATTAGAACGCTGAAAAATAAAGTCTCCATAGAAGAATTTGTGACCTCGTGCTTGCACTTCCTCAGCAAATGGATTCCAACGGTCAGATGTGAATTAGGGCCGAATGAAGAAATCTTTACTGCAGTCCACTAGCTGATTAATGAGATTAGAAGTGATAAAGGTAGTCCAAAATAATACCAAGTCAATTACATTCTCGAAGAGCTTCAATAAGTCTACAGATTCTATTCATAGATAGATAGATTCGTCTGGAGACAATCTTCAAAGGCTTTTCCGCATTGCACTCCATTCATAACTTCTATTAAAAAAATAAAGCCCTCGGCGTTGATCAATCCGTGAGGGATGCGTCATGCATTCGACTTCATCAACCTTCGTTAGAGGCGATTGAAGGCACATCTGACTGTGTCGTTTTCTTGTTCAGCAATCGCGAGGTTTTTAAACAGCATACATTTACTGACGAGTCGTCAACCATATGCGACTATAATCAGCTGTTCTAAACTTCTTCATTAGAAGTCA